GAATGAAATTGGCGTCTTTTTAATATGAAAGGCAACCGAGAATCGCTGGGGGATAGATCAATTCAAGGAATAAAAACGCGATGGCCATTATGTGTCCCGGATAATATTTCAGAATCTATGAAATTATCATGCAAATTTTTGATAAGAAGGCGTGTCCCATTGCATAAGCCTCTGCTGGGATTCATGTTATGAAGAAGCATTATTATTGTCCCAACTTTAAGATTTAAAATATGAGGAGGCATTCCTGATGGGGTTTGAGAATGAAGAAATTCAATGGGGTAATTAAGTAGGTCCTCACGATTATCTGTTTTTAGAATTTCCTGGTAGTTTTTGAATAATTTCGTTATTTAAATTTAGGGTTATGTATATTTTTAGTGGTTAATATAATTTTTTTTGAAAATAGGTTAATATCAGATATTTAATATATATTATATGTAAAATTGTATAGTGTTATATATATGATGATGTATTAGTTGGTAATAATTTTAGGACCTTCATGGCAACATATTTTTAAATTTTCCATGAAATAGTTTTTTATAAAAAAATTATTAAGCATTTTAAAATATAATCAAAATAAGAAATTTTCTTGATTTTTTTATCAGGACAGACTTGTAATCAGTTTATATAATAAAAAATAAAGAGATTATAAAATTTACTGTTAAGGATGTTGAAGCAATATTACATTGATTTTGATTTTCAGTACTACTACACTTTGAGATTGATGCAATAAGGCTTTTCTCTTGTCGACAAAGTTATTGTTATATAACCAATGATATGTATATTCTAATTGATTGATGATTCACTTAATAAATGCAGTTAAAAGTGCCCATATTTAGTGTTCTAGGCATATGTATTATTTTATTATGTATATTGATATAATTGTATTGATAAATTATTATTATGATTTATTGGTTTTTATAAAATAATTTTAAAAAAAATTGTAAAAAATAAATAAATTTGGACTAATATTGTTTTTTTCGAGGAAATAAAATATAAAAATAAATAAAATTTGACTTATGACATATTGAATATTTGAAATAATAATCATAATATATAGGAGACAGATGTAGCATGATTTTAATATGATATGATTATTTAGACTATCTAAATTTTTATTAAATGAGTGTTATTTTAATTATTAGATTAGATTTATACATATAAATTATATTTTCACTATGTCAGCTTGCAATCAAATTCTCTGTTTGAAATGTATCAAAATAATTTATTAAGAACTATCAATTTAATATTATTAGATATATATATATGTTTTTCAATTTTTATAAATTGTAAATAAATTGTCGCTTTAAGAAAATATAAAAATTAAATTTATTTAAGTACATTACACTGTTAAAAATATAATATCAATATCACTCATAATGTCTAAATATCAATTTTGCATTCAATTGAATTTTAATTGATTTTTATTATTTAAATTATTTTATAACCCTAATAAAATAAAATTTTTTCAATTGAAAATTAGCAAATTTAATATTCTAAGCCGAGTTTGAAATTATTAATCAACTCATCACACATCTTCAGCCCTTATCAATTGGGTGTTGGCGTACTGACGAATGTGAAGCTGCAGTTCACTTAACAAAAATTTATCTTGAAAATAACCTAACAAACGAAACTTTAGTGAAAATCGACTTTTCAATGCTTACAACACTCTTTCCCACAACATCTTCTTACATTCCACTTGTTCCTATTTTCCTGCTTGCGCCAAATTTCTTTTCTCTTGCTACCAATCCCCCCAAGCCCTCAGCATCACTAACCAGAAGGAACAGCTTAAAACCTCAAAATACACAGAAATTACTAATAACCAATGTTTCAATCCAATCATTTCAACTGCGCTTGTCACCTTCGGCAAACTTGCCTTAGCTTTTTCCAAGCAAACACTCGGAAGAACATCGAGAGGGGTTTTTTCGACAAAGGCTTGCCATAGCAATCCTTAAAGCCAATTACATCAGCTTCAATGGTATTCTACTAGCCAAAAACTATCCTAGACCCTTTATACCTCTTATTCTTTTCCTCGCTTTATACCATCTCCGGTCTTCATTGATATTTTTAAAATTTTTCATACATATCTTTTGTCCCATTTTAATATCGACTTTAATACGTCATATATTCATTATTTATTATAATATATTATAATGTAATATTATTATAATATTTTTCTCGTAAAGAAAGAAAGAAATTAAATAAAGTTTATTTTTATTTAATTACCATGCCTCTTCCAAAAAATATTTCCTAGGATCCAAAAAGTTTAAGAAATTTCTTTATAAAAAGTAAGTAACATATAGTTGATAATCATCTATTATATAAGATTGGTTATAAAATATTAGGTAAAATGCCACTTTTACAGACATTTTCTTAATTATAGTTAATATTTCAATAAACTTTACTAATCAATGCTTTTGATCTATAAGTAATAATTTGCATTCAATTCTTTAACGCCATCTATTTATTTTCAATAAATATAATTATTAAAATTAATCATCTTATTATTTATCCCACATTAGATGTAATACTTATTAAATAACTCTTTTTCCTTCTCTTTTTTTAAAAGTATTTTTATTCCTTTTTTGAAAAACAGTTCTAAGTTAAATTTTTAATAAGTTTTGATATTATTACTACATAACTCAAAGCATCAATATTATATTTGCATAATTATTTCTGATAAGGTTGGCAGGGAATTGAGTACAAACAGAAATTTAATTTAATATAAAATAAAACAAAATTACAATCTCTCTATTTGGTCTAATAAAATATCTATATATATATTTTTAAATGAAGAGTTAATTATTTAATATATTAATAAAAAATCATTTTATAAATAACAACGAATGAATGAAACAAATTACAATTTTAGCTATACAACACCTTAGTATAAATAAAATAATTATATATATAAATCCATATTTAACAATTTCTTCTAAAGATTTTTAGTTTTTTTATTTAATCAATTTACCTATAGTAATAAATTCAGATATGAGTTTACATCGTGAATGTCATGGCTATAATTGCATAACCAGCTTCTATTTTGTGTGACTATTTAATTTAAGATTATTACTCATGCTGCTGAGAGCATTTCAGCATAATTTAGAATAAGGAATAATGGTCAGATCGTTTAGTCATTTATCATAAAAATAGAAGATAATTTTTTTAATAATTTTCTCGATTACTTATCTAGCTTCCATAATGTCATATAGGTCTAACCAACATATAGTTTTATAATTTGGATTAGTCGTTTATCAAGAATTATTAATTTGACTAGGCCTACAAATTTTTCCTTATTAGTTAATTCTATAAAACATTGTCTAAAATGGCAACACAGCGTTAAATTAGTTTAATGATCTTTTGTTAATGTAGGTTTATAAGATAAATATTGCTTTGTGTGGTTTTTAAAAACCATTATCAATTGAGGCTAAACTTTTTTTTATCACTTATAACTCTTTAGACAAATATTTTTTCTATCCGCAATAGAAAGTATTTAATATTAACACTACCTACGACGGTCCCAAGTCCGTGTGCAAAATGTGGAGGGTTGGCGTAGGTCGGAAACCGGCTGTAAAAACCAACTCCAAAATGATGATATTTTCAAATAAAACTACAAAAGAAAGCTAGGGCGTCCTCCACAAACGACGCGCACTGCATCTCCCGCCCGTGCAATGCGAATAATACACCAGGGTTACCGCCTGACTCACAACGAAGGCGGTTAAGGAATTTAGTTGTGGATAGAATGCGAATAACATGTTGGAATGTGGGTACGTTGACGGGAAAGAGCATCGAGGTCGCACAAATGCTAAAAAGAAGAAAGATACACATCGCCTGCTTACAAGAGACGAGGTGGAATGGAACTAAAGCTCGGGAGTTAGGAGAGGGATACAAGTTATTCTACAGTGGGTCACTAAATCGTAGAAACGGGGTCGGTATCGTTCTAAGCGAATCGTTCAAGGACAAGGTGGTGGAAGTCAAACGATGTTCAGACAGGTTAATGTGGGTCAAGATTGCAGATCAAGGAGGCCTCCTAACCGTTATGTGCGCGTATGCTCCTCAAATTGGGTGCATGGAATCAGAGAAAGATATATTCTTCGATTCATTGGAAAAAGAGATACAAGGAATACGACAGGAAGAAAAGCTAATTATTGGGGCGGACTTCAACGCCCACATAGGAAAAGATCGTCTCGGGTATGAACGAAATCATGGGCTATGGGCATGGTCTGAAGAACAAGGAAGGGGAAAAACTTCTCCGAGTATCCCAAGCATATGACATGGCGATCGTTAACACTTATTTTCAAAAGCCTGAAGATCATATAGTGACTTATAGAAGTGGAAAGCATTTTAGTCAAATTTACTATCTGCTTATACGGCGAAAGGATTTATGGAGGATCAAAGATTGCAAAGTAATACCGGGAAAAGAAATCGCCAGGCAACATCGTCCACTTGTCATGGATCTTGAAAGAAAAGTGTTTCCGGAAAGAAGAAAGGTTTATGAACCTCGGATTAGGTATGAAATGCTAAAGGACATGCCGACGAACGATAAATACCATCAGAAAGCCTCCACACTCTTGGGTGCCAGGAAGTTAGAACGAAACGTAGATGACAATTGGGAGACGCTAACTGCGGACATAAAGGAAACGGCGACTCAGATTCTAAGACAGACCAAAAGAGGCAAAGCTTTGAATTGGGAACTATGGTGGTGGGATCAATAAGTTAGTGATTTCATCGAAAGAAAGAAAATTCTATATAGACGGTGGCATAAATCTAAAAAGTCGGAAGATTATCATGAATATAGGGAGGCAAAGAGAGCCGCGAAGAAGGCCGTTGCAATTGCGAAGAATGCTGCGTACACCAAGATGGCAAACAAACTGGATCATAAAGGGGGCGACAGGCTTATGTATAAATTGGCCAAGATAAGGGAGAAGAAAAGTCGCGATGTCTGAGTCCTTAAAATAGTCAAAAACGAGGAGGGTCAAACCTTATTCAAGCCGAAGGAGGTGATGGAAAGGTGGAAAGGATATTTCAAGGAACTTATGAATATTGCTATTCGCAAAGATTTCCTTCCCGATATGGAGCCAAACATAAGTATGGTCGAACCCTTTCAGGAGGATGAAGTTAGGACGCAAATGAACAAGATGCAAAAAGAAAATTTAATGGCTTAGATGGAATTCCTATGGAAGCATGGGTCGGATGCTGAGAAGAAGGAGTCACAACCATGACGAACCTCTTTAACAAGATATTGGGAGAAGAACGAATTCCTAAATAATGGAGAGCAAGCACGATTGTACCCTTATTCAAAGGCAAAGGAGACCCTCTGGAGGAATGTGGTAATTACAGAGGTATCAAGCTAACTTGCCACTCCTTGAAACTTATGGAAAGGATCTTAGTAACAAGGCTGAAGAACGAGGTGGAAATATCGGCTAACCAATTCGGATTTGTGGCTAGCAAATCCACGATCGATCCGATCTTCGCACTAAGACAAATGATGGATAAATATGGAGAAAAGAAAAGAAACATACATATGTTCTTGATTGACTTGGAGAAAGCTTATGACACGGTCCCTCGCAATTTAATATGGTGGTGCTTGAGAAAACAAAATATCCCTGACGCATATTTACGGCTTATGAAAAATATCTATGAAGCCTTAACTTCTTGCGTTAGAACGACAGTTGGAGACTCTAAACCTTTTCGGGTTGAAATTGGATTAAATCAAGGATTTAAAAGCCATCTGGTGTATGCTATATGCCGATGATATAGTACTATGCGAAGAGACAAAGGAGAAAGTATTCGAAGAAGTCGAAAAGTGTTCAAAACGCTTAGCTAGATATGGTTTAAAGGTCAATAATCGAAAAACGGTATACATGGAGATGAACGTTACAGGCACCCCATCGCTGGATGATAAATTAAAGTATCCAAAAGTAGACAGGTTTATTTACCTAGGCTCGATGCTACATCAAGAGGGAGGTTGCGCAAAATAAGTCAATGCACGGATCCAAAAAGTATGGCTTAAATGGCGAAGTATATCCGGTGTAATGTGAGACAAGAAGATGCCAATATGGTTGAAAAGCAAAGCTTACAAATCCATCGTAAGACCGGTGTTACTCTATGGAAGTGAAACATGGGCATTAAACTCTAGCCATGGAGATGAGAATGATACGGTAGAGCTTGGGATATACTAAATTCGACCATATGACGAATGACTGTCTCAGAGCAAAAATGGGTATTCAACCTATGGCGGACTTGATAAACGAAAATCGGTTAAGGTGGTATGATCATATACTAAGAAGGGAGGAATGATGTAAATCGAAAAGTATTGGACATTGAGGTGCCGGGGAAGAGAGGAAGAGGATGACCTCGTGTTACGTGGAAAGGTCAAATAGATAAAGTTATGATGACTAAGAAGATAACATGGCCATTACTCGATCAAGATGGAAGAAACTTATCAAAGCAAACCCCACGACTGTGGGACCATAATAAAGAAGAATAGAAAGTATTTATTATTGTAATAAATGGATAAATATTTTTTATTAAAAAATATTATAAATGTCTAGTATTGATTTACTTTAATTATTTGTATGCATAATAAATGACAAAATATGAAATAAAGAATAATTGTTTAGAATTTGCAAATTTCAAGGGCAAGAGCGAAGCGATGGTACGCCAAATAGGGAGTATGTGCATAGCCCCCCCCCCCATAATTCTTTTTAGTTGAGCTTCCCTGAGATTGTAAATGTTAGTGACGCCTCTGTCTAGTAGTATATATTCATAATTGTTTACAACATAAGGAATTAATCAAGATACTTAATTGCAATATGATACCTATTTATCATACCCTGTCATCCTTTAATTTTTATTGATATACTTGTATAAATTCATTCTAATTCTATTTAATATTATGTTTATCTCTATGTGAAAACTTGCACAAAAGCTTGCGGGCTTTATTGCGGAACGCCATTCCTGTTAGATGAACCAAACGACAATTCGGTGAATATGGGACTTCATAAAAATTACGGGGCAGAATTGGGAGTGTTCACCTGATTTTAAAGTCTAAAGAGAACGTTATGTAAACGTTTAAGACATGGTTGGAAAAGAACCCACATTCTTGAAAGTTCCCGCGAATTATTTTATTCCGAGATTTCCAGTTGATCTCGAAAAGAATAAATATAAAAGGTAAGGTATTACGGAAAATATAAAGCTAAGTGGAGATATTGGCGTTGTCTGGCTGAAAGTTTGACAAATGTGTTCGGTTTCGCAGTATAAAGCTGAAGGGTTTTCGTCGTGATTTCTATCAAGTTTTTTTTATTATTAAATGTTACACCCCTTTCCAGGTGCCTTTAAATAAAAAGCAATATGTATTTTGTCCTAGATTCATGATTAATTATAGCCCATTTCTTTCTTTCTTCCATTCTTTCTATATCAAATGTTAAAAAAATAAAATAAATTTAAAAGAACATAGTGTTTATATATTAAAAACTAATCTGTGCAGTTAAAAAACTTAACTCTTATTCAATCGGAATAATCACTTTTATGACTTTGAAAGGTGGTTTTCTGGAAATTGATAGAACCTATTTTATTGTTTATCAATTTAATTTAATGGAAAAAATTGTAATGGGATAAGATAACCTTCTTTGATACAAACAAACTGAGTATACGCTATTTTACTCTTATCGCTCCCCTCCACTCTCTTATCAACCTCCTCTACGCTATCAACCTCCTCTACGCTATGAACTACCACCAACTTTTATATTTTGGCTTTCTCAACCGATAACTATCAAGCATTGAAACCCCCTCCTCTTCACACTTTAACGCTCTACACAGGGCGTAAATACTGATAGACTACTGTCCCCTATTAAAGGTGATATAATTAAGTATAATGAAAAAATTATAAAACCATAAGACTTGTGGTCTGGATGCCATACATAGTGAATTCCTAGAGAATAACCCATCGTTGTAAGCGGAGATTTTTTTCCCTATTATGACAAAAGGGAGAGAAGGGCCATGCCCAATAGATAGAATTACTGTCATCCTAATTAACTTCCCAAATACAAATAATATCAAATATATTAAAGACTGAAGAGGGCCTCTTTTAATCCAGTGATTTATAGTTATTCACACATATCATTTTAAAGAGACTAAAGCCAATGGTTGAACAAGACTATGTGAGCTCACTAGTATAGTTCAGGAAAGGTCATAATGCACTCGAAAACATATCGTCATTAAAAGCGATACGGAAAAGCTAATTATTTATTGAAGCATTAGACTTTAGGAAAGCTTCTTGATTCTCTTATTCATTCAAGTTTGTAGAAGGTATTAGGAGTTAGGGACGCCTGCCCATCTTTTGAAATTTATAATTAGTATATACGATAACTACTCGATGCAGATTATATATGCTTCAGAAATACCCAGAAATTTCTACTAAAATTGGGTTGAAACAGAGATGTGTCTTATCTCCGCTACTTTACAATTACATTATAAACCATATTATAAAAAGAAGGTTAAAGTCTTGTGTTCAGAACAGTTGGTAATGGATGATATAAATATACCAGTGTTTGCAGATGACCTTTGTTCAACGGGGGAATAATACCAGAACGTCAATCTTAGTGAACAATATAATCATGAAATCCAGGATTTCGGAATTGAAAATGAATGCTGAAAAAACAAAGGTGATGACCTCAACCACCACGTTACCCCATGTTAACCTAAGAATAAACGAGGAGGATAATGAGGAAGTCGAATTCTTGAAATATCTGGGAATTATTTTTGACAGAAAAGGAATAACTAAACAGGATTTAGTAGTAAAATTAAACAAGGTAAGAATCAAATATCGATCTTTTATAAAGGCACGACTTTCAAATTAATATCTCTCTCGTTAAAGACTCGATTTTTTAAAATTTTAGTACTCTCCTACTGCATTATGGCATTGAGAAATAACGATATTTATCAACAAATGCCTAAGGTATATCATCAAAACCTTCTTTCCTTTTAATACATCCAATAGTATCTTATGGACTAGATTAGCACCCCTTCCATTATATAGGTTAATAGAATATAGGAAAAGCGAGTTAGTGAGTCATATCCTTAGGCCAGCCCCTAACAGCCTAATCTATCATCATTCATTATATAATCTGAGAGGAGACATCCTTTATAGGTTCCTAACGTACATAAATAGTTGGTTTGGCAGGATACCTAAATCATAGCAGAGATAGGCCTTTCTTGGGAATTCATCAAACGGGCTACTCTAGATAGACGTACATTTAAGATAATCTTGAGCCCAAAACACGACTATATAACGAACACCTGCAGAGGGGGGAGGTAAATTCTTCTTTTATAGTGAGATCTCAAATACTTCTACTTGGCCTCAAATTCTTATGTAATTTTGGCTCGAATAATTAAAATTAAACATATCGCAATTCGTTGTATAAGGATTATCGGTTTTTAAACCAGTTTTTCAGCCTATGAGTTAAGTAGACTAAAGGGAAACTAATGTACCACTTTTATATACTAAAATTCAACAATAATTTAATAGGTTTATAAATTTAATTGTTATAAGTGTATTTGTCAGGATAGCTTCTTGCTCTGTATCCTCCTTCGCCTACTATACTTAATACTAATACTTCAATTTGATAATATGTAGTTCCACCCTTATATTTAAAATATGCATTACAAGGTTTGTTGGTACCCTTGAGAAAAAATATCGCCATATCCATATGACACACGTTAGCTCCTATTTTTCAGGTCTGTGACCACGTGTTAAACAAGATAACATAGGATTTAGATACCATAACTGCTGAAAAATGATTAAAGATGCCAAAACATATCCCTCTTATATAAACTTCACATCTAATATAAAATAAGGCTATAAAACTATGTATTTTAATTAAGAGCTTCTTATATTTTTCAATAGTGGTATAACTGATTGAATTTATCATAGATATATTATGTAAGCAAAATATTAGAAACCTAGGACCGAGTAGTTTATTTTGGAACCTAATATTTTAAATCCCTATTATTAGGTATAAAAATAAGAATAAATGTAATATATTTTTTGAAAATCTGGGCCAGGCAGGGCCGTGCAAATGATACCTCTGAGATCCCTGAAAAAATAAATAAAATGATATAAGTAAAATCCTTTTTTATGATTTTTTTTCTTGCAAAATATAGGAAATAATTTAGAATAATCGTTATCTTCAGAATAAGCGAAATTATTCTACCCTTTTCCTTATTTCTCATTGTACACTACTTATTTACTTTGCCTTCATCCTTCATTTTCTCAATTAATAATCCTTAGCTTCATTCCTTCCTGTTTCGCCTCCAACCTCTTTAATTATGCAAACTCATATCGTGTAAATCATTACAGTTTTAACTCTCATTTCGAACCAGAAACACATCCCTAGAAAGAGAAGAGCTAGCTTTGCATGAAATTTTTCCCACTGACATTTCGGCGTCATCCCAATTGCGCCTCCAAACCTATTGTTAACTTCCATACTTTTTCGCCATTTGATTTCCAAGGTTTTCCTTTCTCATATTTTTCCTTCTCATATTTTCCCTTACAAACAAAAAATGGCTTCAGTCTGAAAAAATTTTCTTTTCCGGGCTAAATATATCTTTATTATTTAATAAATCAGCAAAAATATTATTCCTTAGATAAATATTATTTATTTAATGTCCGTCTCGAACAAAATGTATATATATAATTATATTATATAAATAATATATTTAGATATTATATATATTATATTGTTTTAAAAGCAAATATGAACATAATTTATCTCATTTTAAAGCTAATTTAATATAAAAGTGGGTATGGTCAACAAAAAATATTTTAAAAATCTTCCTTTTTTTAAATAAAGAATTTTATTTTATTTTAATTTTTTTTCTTACTTACCTTTAGCTAATATAATATATTAAATTTTTTTATTCCATATTGAAGTATAGATAGATTTATAAATATATCATTAAAAGAAAATTATTTTTTCAAAATCAATGAATTATTTATTATTTGTGGCAATTTTAGCTTGGAATATCGCGATATCTATTGAAAGTAAAATAAATTGAAAAAATTATATATAATGTTGTTATATTGGGATATGGAATTAAGGATTTTAAAACCCAAACGTTTTATTCGGAATCTTTGAAAAAAAAAATTTCTTTTTATAGTGTGGCTGAAGCCATTTTTCTATGTAAATAAATTTATTAAATTTTTTTAAAAAATATTTTAAATCCCAAACCTTCGCGAAAAAGAATAAATACAACCACCATTCTAAATAATAAATATTTTAAAAAAATAGACTTTTTCCCCTCTTTACCATTATATTATTATTATAACTAGAGATCTGCAAAAGTAGGCCCCCGGCCCGTACTAGGCACGAGCCCGGCCAGAAGCTAATTTTTTTAAAAAAATCGGATTCGGGCTGGATCGGGCCTATTATTTTTAAATAAAATTATGGCCGGGTAGGGTCGGGCCTTGGAAATTTTTTAAAATATATTTAAATTTATCAATTTTATATTGAACTTTTTATGTAAAATAAAAATATTTAGTTCAAGCCGGGCCGGTAAATTTTCTCAAAAAAAATTTCAGGTTCGGGCCGGGCTTGAAAAATTAGGCCCGATGCAGATCACTAATTATAACTATACAAAAAATAATATGTTATAAAAGTTCGTTCATTTTGTATTAATTTTATTTATATTTTTAGCATAAATAATTTTTTTAATTTGGCCAGATAAACGAAAGAGCTTGTGCTTAACACAAATTTCGCTGCGCTAAAAACACGTTCAACTGGCCCAGAGGATAGAAGGGTTTATTATGTTTAACCCTGTATTGCATGTACTATGTTAGAATAATTTTTTTTTGGCAAACTAGATTTTTTATTTCTCTCGATACTATTGATAATCTCATGGCTCACTTTTTTTAAAAAAATTCTAAATTTCTTAGAAGATGAACGGTATGTGGATTAAAATACACATTATGCAATTAAGGATACCAATTTCAATTTTTTCACAATAATTTTTATTATACTCTAAACTATAAATATATATAT